TAACGAAAACTTAATCTCATGCGGGCAAAAGAAAAGCCGTATCCACATGGGCTTTGTGGCTCAAATGCTAACCATCATATCAAATTCCACGTATCACAATCATCAATATTCATCTCTCTCTCCCTTTATAATTAATTAATTTTAATTAATTTTAGTTTCAACTCTCCTCTCTTTTCAGTTTCGACCTAACAAATATCTACTTAGGAGTTTGGCTTTACTCGATTAAGCACTGTTTTTTTTTTTTAATTCATTAATGCTGCCGTTTTGCCATCCTGTTATTTATTGCAAATTTTCAGGTTATTAAGATGCAGTTCATTCCATCTTGCATTTTTTTTTAAATTAATTTGTACAAATACGTGCGCACAACTAACAGCAGTGGCAGTGCATGAATGTCCAAGGCTTTGGCAAATACAAGTTAATTGCATTTTTTTTTTTTTAATGACGCAGGCTAACTTTTTACACGTAACTCAATTAGTCTTTAGTGTCCATTGAATATTTTATAACGTCAATATAGTAAGATAAGTCACAAATATTTAATGACCAAAGTGTTTAAGCTAATTTGCACATACCTTGACTAGTTTTATAAGTTTATTAAACACTCTACAAGTTTAATGTTCCAAAATAAGCCACAAATATGATAGATAGACCCAAGGTTCAAACCTAAGAAGTCAATAAAGAGAGCAAATCTCCCTGACCGTTATAGCACCCCAAGAGGTTGATCTAGCAGTCAAGGAGGTTTGTTCCCTTTCTTGAGTTTTTAGGTTCAAACCTTGGGGTAAGACATTTAATGGACCCCATAGATTAGTTGAGATGCGTATAAGCTGGCCCGAACACATTGTTACCAAAAAAAAAATGGATAACCCCTTGGGGTTAAGTTAATTGCATTTATCCCGCTAAAATTTAAATTTATCACCAAGTCATTCATTTTTAATTATCGTGATATACCAGTGATTCATACAAACGTCAAGTAAAAATAGATGATAGAGAATAAAATTTAGGGCTCTGTTTAGTTATTTAGGACAACATTCTATGCTATTTAGCATTTTTAGAAAATAGGATAGGATTTTGAGAATCATTTTGTACATTTCTGAATAGCATTTTTTGAAAATATTTAAATTATTTTTAACCCCCTAAGTTTGTTATTTTAATTAAACGCGCAATAATTAAAGTTTATAAATTAATAAAAACACCCCACCCACCCACGTATTACCGGCATCCGGCCACCACCACTGGAAGGTGGCTGGAATCTGCCAAAATGGCTAATCTGGCCAAAAAAAAAAAAAAAATCAGATTTACGACCAAAGATCTGGTTGTTGACGACGGCCATATCTTGGCCATTGTTGACTCCCCGTCATCAACGACCAAGATATGACCATCGTCAATGACTAGATGTGGCCAGATCTAGCCGTTTTGATCTGACTAGAAAAAGTCAGATCGACATACAGATGACCAAATCCAGCTGAACGTGTGCCATTTCGGTAGATTCCAGCCACCTTCTGACGATGGTGGCCAGCTGTTGGCAATACGTGGGTGGGTAGGGGTGTTTTTATTAATTTATAAACTTTTATTGTTAGAGATGTTAGTTAAATTAACAAACTTAAGGGTTTAAAAGTAATCTAAATATTTTAAGTTGAATAGAATAAGATTGAATTTTGAGAATATTAAAACAAATACATTTTTTAGTTTTTAGGATAGGATAGTAAAAGTGTGCCAAACGGACCCTAGGTTTTTTAAACTGAAACAATATCAAAATGAGAGGTATTTTGGTACGAAAACAATAAAAATCTTCCTAATTTAAAGATTACATAAAGTGTTTTTAAATTCAACTAGAGTAAATCCCAATATTTCAAAATGCAAGACTTCAAAAGTTGACAAAACCTTCAAGTGGACTCGGCAAATACATTCTACAGGAGACAACGTAGTCGTAGAACTCATGGATTAGTCTGTCTTCATAGAGTACCAGCAAATCAAGTATAGTTTTGAGTTTTGACTTATATACGTATCAGTTTCATGAATCGTATCGTATCCACCAAGCAAAGTAATTAAGATAATGTAAAGAGTCATTAGATTGGTCGAGAAAATTGATGAGATAAAGAAGCGTGGAGTGTATATGTGAAGAACGTGTTGTAAGTGAGAAATGGGGATCTGGGTCCAGAGAGTGTCAATGTTTGCATGAATTGATCTTTCGTCTACTTTAGGAAGATGCCTTAAGCATCAGTTACAGAAATGAGAAAAAGTTTCTTAAATAGGACAAGGGTCATACTGTCCACTATGTTTTGTCTATTGGGGATGTCAGGAATTCAAACGGGAATAGAAACAGGAACCCTACCTCTCGCAAAACACCAGTGGTTACTGTTAGGTCATCTTTATCATCGACATCGTTGCTGCGTTAAATATCTGGTCCATTATCCTCGTCTGCAAGTCTAGAAAACATCATGTTCAAACTCTCAATTATTTCATCCCTGGGTCAACTTCAGCTACAAAAGTAGTTGTCTGTGCTTTTGCTTCTGCCACTAACCACTTCATATGATGATACCTCCTTGCTCTTGTTGATTAATTTGCCATCCCAAGCTGGTTACTTAATATTTTAAGGTGTGAATGAAATGAGAGCATTCAATTGCTAACTTTATAAACACTCAATCAAAAGTCAATTATTAGGAGCTTACATTTTATTCGTATTTTAAGCAGTGTTTTAAAACCTGGCCCTGCCCGGCCGGTTGAACCGGGACCTAGAGCCTTTACTAGGTCAGGTTACAATTTTTTTTATTAATTGAAAACCCTAGAAATTAGGACATCGATCCATGAACAATTGAAGGCTGGGTTGTTGGGGGTTTTGAAGAGGAAGGGTCAGTGAGTGGAATGGCGACGACGAAGATGATTTCCAGTAAGTGAATCGATCGAAAATTGCAAAACTAAGGACCCGAAAAAAGCTCCGATTGGGGAGACGAATGAGGGAGGTTGTGAGATGGGTTTTGGTCAGGAGGTTGAGAGGAGTGTTTTTGTGTTGATGGGGAGTGTTGTTGTCGCCATAAATATGCCTTATTTGTCGACGTCGACGGTATTGTAGTGTTTTTGCAAGATTTCAAACGTATAGGGACTTCTAATAATTTTTAAAGGGTATTTTTGTTGGATTTTAAACTTGTGGACACTTGTTAAATTGGTCAACCCGAGACCCGACCACTTTGTCAAGTTTTACCTCAGGTTGGGTTTTAAAACACTGATTTTAAGATATCTACACCTAAAAAATTTCATATATAATAATAATAATAATAATAATAATAATATTTCCTCTTAAAATTATCTAAATTATTTTTAGGTTTAAAAATTAAAATTGGACTCTTATTGAAAATAATGTTTTTGTTTTTTGCACATAATATTTATCGAAACTAATAAATCTATTGTTTTCTAGTATCCTGAATGTGTCTAATGATAACCCATAAAAAAAAGTATTCATTAATCGCAATAATTAGGGGTGTTTAAAAGAACCGATTGGAACTGGAACTGGCAGATACTCGAGGTTTGGTTTTGGTTCCTACCCAGAACCGGCCTTCAATGGGTAGGTTTCGGTTCCAAATTTTTGGAACCATCACTATGCAGTTCTGGTTCCGGTTCCGAAACCTAGAACCGAGATTAATATAAAATAAAATTAAAGAGTGAGGGGTTAGTAAAAACTTTTGTAAAAAAAGTAATGTGAATACATTTATATTTATATTTCATAACTAGAGGTGGGCATTTGGGACTGGACCCAAAAGCCCAGTCCCAAAACCCGGTCCTAGGACCGGTCCCAAAACGAGACTAGGCCTAAGGAGGAGGGCTCGAGCCCTCCACTGGGCCCTCCTCCAAGGTCCCAGGCCTGGGTCCAAATTTTTTTACACATTTTCATTTTAGTCTCTTGTATAATTGCTAAAACCCCCTATAAATTTTAAAATAAACATAAATTATAGGGGTTAAAAGGAGATTTTACAAAATTTATTAAAGAAAAAATCTTCCAGGTTTAAAACATTTATAAAATTTATAAATTTTACCCCTAAAAAATACTAAAAACCCCCTACAAAATTTAGTTTCGCTCCCAAAATATAAAAAAAAATTCAAGGGGGAAAAATAAAATTTTCAAGCCCATAGGACCGGTCCTGGGCCCATGGACCAGACCTAAGGAACAGTCCGAGTTCTAGAGTTTCTCATGGGCCTAGGACCGATCCTAGGTCTATGAGTGACTGGTCCCATTTGGGACCAGTCCCAAACGGGCCCAGGTCTGGACCTGCTTGGGACCAATCCTTGCCCAGCTTTATTCATAACATTTAAAGTAAGTTGGTTTGACTTTTGAGAATTTACCTTTTCAAAGTAATGGAGTTATGTAATTTGTAATTTTATTTTTGTTAACAAGTGTCGGGGGGGTATTTGTAAGTTTTTAAGGGTTTTTTTATCATTTTAAAAATTTTTGGGGGGTAATGAGTTTTACAGGGTACTCGAAACCGGAACCGGAACCATTGTTATAGGTTTCAGTTCTAGGTACCTAGGAGTCGGTTCCGATTCCAGTTCCAAATTTTAAGGGACCATTAGTTCTGGTTTCGGTTTTGATTCCTTAAAAAAATACAGGGTACCTAGAACCGAACACCCCTAGTAATAATAGTTTATCTTAAGTATTGATGTTTGTTGGCACGTATAAATACACATGGAATCTGTAAAGAATCTTGATCAATCATTAAATCATAGTGTTAGTTATTATTTAATCACCTCTTTTAAATGTACTGCTCACTGTTTGGTGGCTCAACAGTGCAGGCGCACCAAGCCGAATAATTTCCACAACGTGCAAACAGGACCCATGCGTAAATTCTCATAAAACGTCGAGGACAAACCCGTCACCTAATACCTCTTCAATAGAAGCGGAAAGCTAGAGGACCGCTGGATCCACCAGAGCCGCCAGATCAGATTGACTCGTCTCTCCCACCGTAGATTCACTACTTATACGACACACAACCAAATGGACTGAGCCCGCATTTACTTCGCATTTAAGTCGCATTTCATTTGGCCTTTTTTGTCTGTTTTTTGCCCCATTTTGAAACCAACGTAAGGCTGTGAGAGCTGCGCGGGTAGCTTGGCTCAGACCACCTCTAACAACGCTCGCGAAATCTAGGGTTTCATTCTGGTAATTTCTCGCATTATGCAGTTTAGACCTCATTTTGATCTTATTGAAATTTGTATAGCTTTCTGTGAAACTGAAGTGGAAGGTTTTTTCTTCAAATTATTCAATGGCTATTTGTTTATGTGCTTATTCAAAATGTTGCCCAATTGGAGATAGGATTGCATTGGATTTGATTTGATTTGAGCTGTAGTTTTCATTTTCTTCCTTTATTCATTGTTAAAATCTTGTTTTAGCTTTAATTGAATTAGCTTAGTGATCAATGACATTTTGGTTTCAAATTTCATATTCAAATCAGTTTGAATCAACTTATTGCTTATGTAGAATCTTGATTTGAACTTGTACGTTAGTGTATCTTTCCAAATTAAGCCTTAGATCTTGCACCAACGAAATTTGGATTGTTATTACTGTCACTTTGGTTAGTACTTTATTTGATTATATAATTGTACATGTGTTTTGGTGCATCATAGAAATTTAGCTGTTTTTGAGTGTAATTTTTGTTGTCAGTAGATTGCTGTTCAATCTAAAGAAAATGGGACATATTAGTGTTTTGAAAACTAATTCAAGAAGGCTGCTTTTATTACGCAATGATTTGAATGATCTATTATATGTAACCCATGGATAATAGTCAACCCATAGTCATTTACAGGCTTGATGTTTCCCCATAGCAAATATTCTAATGTAATGCTGTTAATTCTCTAGCACGCAGTAGAAGATGGCAGAGACCGAGGATATCCAGCCTCTTGTCTGCGACAATGGAACTGGAATGGTTAAGGTACAAAGTGAATTTTTTTGTCTTTGTGAAATAGGCTACCAAAATACCGATCTTTGGCTAAGCTAATATAAATCATATCTCATGAGTATGCCTTAAAATTGTTGCTAAATTCTTATAAAATTGTAGCTAATACAATTATAAATCTGTTATTAGGCTGGGTTTGCTGGAGATGATGCTCCAAGGGCTGTGTTCCCTAGCATTGTTGGCCGCCCTCGTCATACTGGAGTGATGGTTGGCATGGGGCAGAAAGATGCATATGTTGGGGATGAGGCTCAGTCCAAGCGAGGTATTTTGACTCTGAAGTACCCAATTGAACATGGCATTGTTAGCAATTGGGATGATATGGAGAAAATTTGGCATCACACCTTCTACAATGAACTTCGTGTTGCTCCGGAAGAACATCCTGTTCTCCTCACTGAAGCACCTCTCAATCCAAAGGCCAATCGTGAGAAGATGACCCAGATCATGTTTGAAACTTTTAATGCTCCAGCTATGTATGTTGCTATCCAGGCTGTTCTTTCACTTTATGCCAGTGGTCGTACAACAGGTAAGATGTTTATTTAGTTTCTACCAATGTTTTAGTTAGCTTGATTTGGTATATATTTGGGTTAACCGGCAAAAGTACCTTATCAAACATCAAGTAGTATTTGTCTTGTTCTTGAAGAAGATAGTGTTTAATTAGGAAACTCTCGCTCTTTTTTTCTTCTTCAGGTGCTAGTCTTCATATGACAGCTTAACAGGGTATTTGAACTGGGTTCTCCTCTTTTTCATTTTTTACTTTCTTTATTGTATTTTTAAATGAATCCAAGGTCTTAGTTAAGTTTAGCATTTCTTTTTGACGTATTTTTTATTGAGTAATACGTGAGTAAGTGGTACATTTGCAATTGTTTTTGGGAAATATATGTAACTTTTTAAAGAAATTTAAAAAAGAAATTTTGAATAGTTAAAATTATTGTGCACCAAAGAAAAAGAAACTACGTTTATACTCCTGGATCATCTAATTTATTATGTAAATTTAGTAAATTATATGGGGTCATTTTTTGGTTGATAACAACAGTTTTGCCTGTAGACATGGGTTAGTATTTCTTATTTGTTAATAGTTCTTTGTAGTTTTCACAGTACTGGTGATGATCTGTGTATGATGCTCCTTTCTGCAGGTATTGTGCTTGATTCTGGAGATGGTGTCAGCCATACAGTCCCCATCTATGAGGGTTATGCTCTTCCTCATGCCATCTTGCGTCTTGACCTTGCTGGTCGTGATCTCACTGATGCCCTGATGAAAATCTTGACTGAGCGTGGTTACTCATTCACTACCACAGCCGAGCGGGAAATTGTGAGGGACATGAAGGAGAAGTTGGCATACATTGCTCTTGATTATGAACAGGAAATGGAAACTGCTAAGACCAGCTCTTCTGTGGAGAAGAGCTACGAATTGCCTGACGGTCAGGTGATCACAATTGGAGCTGAGCGTTTCCGATGCCCAGAAGTCCTTTTCCAGCCTTCCATGATCGGAATGGAAGCTGCTGGTATACATGAGACAACTTACAACTCCATAATGAAATGTGATGTTGATATTAGAAAGGATTTGTATGGGAACATTGTACTTAGTGGTGGTTCCACAATGTTCCCGGGTATTGCTGATAGAATGAGCAAAGAAATCAGCGCATTAGCTCCTAGCAGTATGAAGATTAAAGTGGTGGCTCCTCCTGAGAGGAAATATAGTGTCTGGATTGGAGGATCTATTTTGGCATCTCTCAGCACTTTCCAACAGGTAATTTTCTTTTAACATACAGATATTAATTGGTGATGTTATATAAGTTACTAATCTGAAAGTTCCTGATGAGCGATTTTTTATTTTTTTCATTTCCTTTTTGGAGTGCAGATGTGGATTGCTAAGGCTGAGTATGATGAGTCTGGCCCTTCAATAGTCCACAGGAAATGCTTCTGATTAAAGCAGCATAAATGGACTCAAGTGCTGTGCTATTTTGAAAAGAAAATGCTGCTTACATTCTCATTCATTTTGTTGTCTTTTCTTTGTGGTTCTTCAATTTAATTTCTGAACAATCACCTTAAAAAAAAAAAAATTCAGTGATTGCTGTATTATTTTCTATTCTTTTTTTTTTCCTATGTAGTGAAGAACTGTTGCCCATCAAATCAAACCCTTATGTAGTGTTAATTCAGAAATCTGTCTTTTTTATTATCTTCTACCTTTTTTTGTTTGTTGGGATTCTTTTGGATTTACACTATTTTGTCATCACAAAATGAGGTCATGCCGCTTGGCCTTGAGGATAAATTAAGTGAATGCAGACTCTTAATGATAATACTTTAGAGCTTGAATGCTTAAAATGTTATCATATTTCTCAGATTTAATGTTTTATAGAGGTTACATTGCTCTTTTATATTCCTCTGGAGTGGAAGGCTGATAGACCTCCCATTAAAAATGTTTATCAATACAAAAGGCATAAGGGACAATCGGGTTAGAAAGTGTAAAGAGTGTGAGGTGCCTTGCTGTTGGTTGTTAGGGAAATTGGTTACAGTCACATGTGAGTGGGGAATCAAAGTTGTTAGTAGAGAGAATAGGTAGTCATGAAGGTAGTATAAATAAAGGGTCAGTTTTGGTGAAGGGATAGAGATCAATATAGTGTCATTGTGGGAGGTCCCCAGCTCCTCGAATTGCTGGGATCTATTTGTTTGGGATTGCCAATTGTTTGGGTTGTTTCTTTTCCATTCTCTAGTAATATATCTAGTTAAGACTCGATTGAGTGAACATTTTTTGTTATCTTGGACTGTTTGTGCTATTGCTTGTTATTATTGTAAGGAGTCTTAACAAGTGGTATCAGAGCTTTGTTCGGGTAATGGTTAAATCGAAGATGGAGAAAAGAGTTGAAGGGTTGGAAAAAGAAATGGGGAACGTAGAGAAAGAAATGGGGACTGTAAGGGAAGAGCTAGGGAGCATTAAGGAGTACTTATTAGAACTGCGTGAGTGGATGAGGTTGAGGGAAGAAAGGGATGCAAATCTGAACCACGATAAAGGGAAGACATCTAACTGTGATCCTTCGAAGGCATCTAACTTTGATCCTTCCAATAGTAGTGACAGTAGGGGAATTGATAAGAATAAGGAGGTAGAGAACTCGAAGGTAAAAAAATTGGAACTACCCATATTCAATGGGGAAGATTCGTATGGACGGACATTCAAAGTTGACCGATATTTTTCTGTAAATCAATATGAGGAGGGAGAAAAGGTGGCAGTAGCCGCAGTGTGTATGGAAGGTCACCCCTGAACTGGTATCAGTGGGTGGAGTCCAGAGCACCCATTAATTCTTTGGACAGAGTTTAAGACTGCAGTGGTGGAGAGATTCAGACCATCATTGAAAGGATCAGCTTATGAAGCTTTGGTAGCTCTGAAGCAGACAGAGTACAGGGAAAATTTTGAAGCTCACGCAGCTCCCTTGCGTGAGGTAGGAGAAGATATACTGATGGGGGTGTTTACCAACGGGCTGAAGGAAGAAGTCAGAGCTGTAATTCGTCTGACTCAGCTCACTTCCCTCTTTACATTGATGGACCAAGCTCACCGTGTGGAGGAAAGGAATTGGGTCTTTGGAAAGAATAGGCCCAGGTTCGCTAAAGCCCAAGGTAATAAGCTGGATTCATATACACAGGTCACCCCAAGCCTAGAACCCGGTTGCACAACTTATTAGACCAACCCATCGCGTAATACAAAATTAGGTCAACCATTTTCCCCAAATCGATTTCACGACATAAATCGATTTGGCGAAACGACGACGCCGAGCTTTCGCGGGGACACTTTTCGGCGAATGACCGACGCCGAAATGCAGCAGAAATGCGAAAAGGGTCTTTGCTTCCATTGTGATGAAAAATTCGAGCCAAACCATCGCTGTCGAAGCAAATCGATCTAGATCTTACTGGTAACTGACGACGAAGAGACCGAAAACGACGTAAGCACGCCAGAACCTATCTCAAAAAATAACGATGAAGGTAATCCATTGGCTCTGTCTATGCACTCAATAGTAGGGGTAACCACATATAAAACCTTAAAATTGAAAAGGGTGATCGGAAGTACAGAGGTGATTGTGCTGGTTGACAGTGGGGCTTCCCACAATTTCATTTCGCGTGACTTGGTGAGAAAATTAGGTCTTGCAATGGAAAGGGGAAAATCATTTGGGGTTATGGTGGGAAATGGTTTTACAGTCAGAGGGGAGGGCATTTGTAAAGGAGTAAAATTGAGGATACAGGGGATTGAATTGTGCCAAGATTATTTTCCATTTGAGTTAAGGGGGGCAGATGTAGTGTTGGGGGTTTCTTGGCTCAGTACGCTGGGTGATGTTTGTGCAAACTGGAGGAATCTGACAATGACCTTTATCAGTGAAGGGAAGAGGGTGGTTTTACAAGGGGATCTGTCGTTAGTCAAGACAGTTGTGTCCTTAAAAGCAATGCTAAAATCCCTACAACAGGAGGATACAGGATATGTGATTGAGTTTTGTTCCATTGGTGTCAAGGAAGAGGAAGCAGAGGAACCCATGGATCTTGTAGTAGTAGCAGTTGTAAATAAATTTAGCCATCTGTTTGATCAGCCTACTCAGCTCCCACCTAAGAGACCCACTGACCACGCCATAGTCTTAGAAGCTAATGCCAAACCTCCTAACATTTGCCCATACAAATACTCTTACTCCCAAAAAAATGAAATCGAAAAGTTGGTGGGTGAGATGCTGGTGGCAGGGATTATACAACCTAGTACCAGTCCTTTTACTAGTCCTGTGTTGTTGGTTCAGAAGAAAGATGGAAGTTGGCGTTTTTGTGTGGACTACAGGGCCCTAAATAATATTACTATACCTGACAAGTTCCCGATTCCCTCCATTGACGAACTGTTGGATGAACTATCAAGGGCATCCATTTTCACGAAATTGGACCTAAAATCCGGTTACCACCAGATTAGGGTTAAAGAAGAAGATGTTCCCAAAACAGCGTTTAGGACCCACAAAGGGCATTATGAATTCCTGGTCATGCCCTTCGGATTAACTAATGCCCCATCCACCTTTCAAGCTTTGATGAATACCATATTTAAACCAGTCTTGCGGAAATTCATACTTGTGTTTTTTGACGATATCCTTATTTACAGTCCTGATTTAAAGACTCACTTGAGCCACGTGAGACACGCCTTTCAAATCCTCACCCAGCATGAATTGGTAATCAATTACAAGAAGTGTATGTTTGGCCGTCAGAGATTAGAGTATTTGGGTCATTTAATTTCAGTGAAAAGGGTAGAAGCTGACCCACAGAAGATTGATTCAATGCTGACTTGGCCCGTCCCATGCACAATCAAGGGATTACGGGGATTTTTGGGTTTAACTGGTTACTATCGCCGTTCTATGCAGAATTATGGTTTAATCACGCAGCCGTTGACACAGTTGTTGCGCAAGGACTCTTTTGCATAGGATGACCAAGCACAACAAGCCTTTGAAACTCTTAAAATGGCAATGACTTCCGTTCCGGTGCTGGCAGTTCCGGATTTTACTCTTCCATTTGAGGTTCATATAGACGCATCAAGTCAGGGAATTGGAGCTGTCCTGATCTAGAATCAACGGCCCATTGCATTCATTAGCCAAGCTTTCTCTAACCAGTCCTGACAAAAATCAGCATACGAGAGGCAGTTGATGGCCATTGTGTTTGCTGTCCATAAATGGAGCCATTACCTAAGTGGACGCAAATTTATCATTAAATCTAATCAGCGCAGTCTACAGTTTCTGACGGATCAACGTGTTAAGACACACAAACAACAAAAATGGATTTCCAAGCTCTTAGGATTTTCCTTCGAAATCCATTACCAACCTGGAAGCTCAAACCAAGTGGTTGATGCCTTGTCTAGACGAGGAGAGGGTGTTGAATTGGAGGCCATTTCGGTAGTACAATTTTCAGAATTGGATGAGTTAGCAGTTGAAGCACAACAAGATCCAAAGCTCCAAACAATCATCCAAGACCTTTTTATTGACCCTGCCAGCCGTCCCTATTATGGTTTTCGCCGTGGCTGCCTCATCTACAAAAACAGGTTGGTCTTACCCAGAAATCTGAAGTTCATTCTTAAACTTTTAGACGAATTTCATAGCAGCCCAGAGGGGGGCCATTCAGGCTTTTTCAGAACTTATAAGAAGCTGATGAATATAATGTTTTGGGACGGTATTAAGAGGGATGTGCAGGAGTATGTCCAGCGGTGTTCCATTTGCCAATTAAATAAATACTCTGCTCTTAAACCAGCAGGTCTTCTTCAGCCCTTACCCATTTCATCCCAGGTTTTTGAAGATATTAGCATGGACTTCATTGGAGGGTTACCAAAAGCAAATGGACAGGATACCATAACGGTTGTGGTGGATCGACTCACTAAATACGGCCATTTTATTCCGTTGTGCCACCCCTACAACGCTAAGGATATTGCTGCCATTTTTGTTTCTGATATTATGAAGCTCCACAGATTTCCCAAGTCCATAGTTTCGGATCGCGATAGGATCTCTATCAGCCACTTTTGGCAAGAACTGTTCAAGGCCATCGGCATTTCGCTGAAGTTCATTTCTGCATATCATCCCCAAATCGATGGACAGATGGAGGTTGTCAACCGCTGTTTGGAAACTTACTTATGATGTTTCTGTAGTTCGCAGCCAAAACAGTGGCATAGGTGGCTGTCCTGGGCAGAATATTGGTACAATACCACACATCACAGCTCCATTAAAATGACTCCCTTCAAAGCCCTATACGGAAGGGATCCACTCACTCTCCTCAAATTTACAGATTCTCCTTCCTCTGTGGAAGAAGTCAACCAACAAATGGCTGCACGAAATTCAATATTGGATGAACTAAAGCATAACTTGTCTGCAGCTCAAGAACAGATGAAGGGAATTGCTGACCTACGTCGTCGGGATATTAGTTTTCAACCAAGAGACCAGGTGTATTTGAAGCTCCAACCGTATCGTTTTAAGTCCTTGGCCAAAAAACCGAATGAAAAACTCAGCCCTCGATTTTATAGTCCCTTCCCCATACTAGAGAAGATTGGGCAGGTTGCTTATAGGTTAGAGCT